ATTGCTTTTCACTTTTCAAATGACACTCTTACCTTTATATTTTAGATTTAGTAATTGATGAAAACATCGATATAACCATTGTTCAATATTTGATTGTTCATTTCCAATCCATAAAGATAAAATTAGGTTATTTTGTCGCCAAATTCGTATAGCAGGTGAAAGCACGACGACAGAACCACTCAAAATTCGTAAACATTGTATATTCGATTTTCCTAAATTAATTCCATCCAAGTGAAGAAGAATACTAAGAAATGGATAGGAATTGGAATCCCCATAAGATTTCATAATTTCGATTATAAACAATATCATTTATATCATGATCAGTTTTTTGTTTTGTAAAAGCTTCGCAATATATATTAATTATGAAGCATAATCGATCATATGATCGAGTAAAAACAATTGCCTGTAATACGTCAAAAACTAAAGGTAAACTTTCCGGATTATCATTTGTACATTTGAGGCATTTCTTGGACATTGTTGGAAGATCAACTTTGCAATTAATACATAGTAACCTTTTAATGAATAAGTCTTCCACTAAAGAAAAGAACAAAAGAGTTTTAAATAATATAAGAAAACTTAGAAAACGATTTTTCAGAGAAAAGTCTTTACGAAAAGTAAAACTAATTGAATATATCTACTATTTTAATGGAACTCAAGGGTTAGTGCTAACACTCGTCTAACGAAGGATTGAGAAGTAAATTACGAGTCGACATGCAAAGACTATTGCAATCTCAAGATCAAATTTATCCTTCTTCTGTCTACCAATTGTCACGTATAAGGACATGTTAACTAGAGACTGAAGCAGTTGATTCCTTCTTTGTGAAAAAGCTGGGTAGCTTCAAAAGATGCACAAACCTTGTGGATTTGATGCAATTTCAGGGGAGTCGTTATCTTACTAACGGCTCTCTACTCAATACTTTTTCTTACCAATTCAACGATTTCTATGATCGCAAAGCATCAACTTTGAGTTACTCGAAAATCACCACAAAAGCACCTTGCTCCAAAGCTATTAACCAAAATGTCGGAATCCCACTTTTGCTGCTCGAACGAACAGATATCCGGGAAGTTAACCAGCGCCTGTCGAGTTCCTACAACGGATACTCACTCGCCAAACCGCTATCCTCATTTCATATTCAGATAAGTTCGTTCTACCACCGATAAGTATATGATTCAATGATAAGTGAATCACGTTCCAAACGTGAAGAAACCAATCCTTCAAAAGCCGGTGTAGGCCCTAAACACACCTCAGCAGACTTCCGTTTATTAACATCGGCGTGCAACATCCTCAAAACACGACTATCATCACAAAAAAACGAAGAACCACACATATATCATCTAACCACAATCTCTAGGTTGGTGTGCTCTACGTACTCATCTGCGCCTACGGTATCGTTCCAGACGCGTACTACATATAACAAGAGTGCTTCATGACACTATTTACCGAACTAGAATTCAGCAAACAAACATTATGCAATAAATAATTATATTCATCCCAATACGAACGCTTCCCTAACACTTTTCAATACTACAGCCCGGTCCTACTTCGCCTCACCTACTTAAAAAAATATCCTTTCCTTGAATAGCGACGCTATCTGGGAAACTTTCTATTCTCAAAACAATCTTACCTGAACTTCTGCAATAGGTTTCTCAATAATGACGCAACTTTCTCTATCTTTCAATCCCCTAATCGACGTTCACTCTGAATTCAATCCTGAACATATGCTATCAAAACCTTAAATCATTTCTTCTGTCATCTGATTTCCTTCCATTTATATATGTTAGAGTTTTCGATTATGTTCTATGACTAAACCTGATTTTTGGATTTTACTCTTAAACTCAATGTCAACAATACGGCTTGTCCACATAACGAGCTACTTCAGGCATTAAGTATTTATTTCAAAGTTTGAAATGAACGTTTATGACACGCCGTGGAGCACACTTGAAAGTGTAGAAAAATGCATTTTGTTATTCGAAAAACTATTTCTGTGTATCTTTAAAAAAGTATATTTTAAGTACTATTTACCGTATTGTCCATTACAGTTTTTTCTATGTTAATTTGAAATTAATGCTGCACCTTAATGTTTAGTTTCGAACTACCACTTTCAAATGTTTTGTGACCTGTCAAGTATGACCTTTCTTCCGACAAAACAATAAACTCCTCTTCTTTCTTCCACATTGAGCTATTCTCAAAATAGAACTTGATCAAAACTAGTGTACCATTGCTAACTTTTTAAGACGATTCTGATGCACTACTTTTTTTCTCAAAAATATTACATCTTGAGGCAGATAAACGTAACGCTGTGACGAAAACCTAATTATCAATACTCTTTTAGTTCATGCAATCGAACAATAATTTCAATACTGCAAGCGTCAGATCGCGACTGCATTGAATTCATATATGATTTTGAGCTTTAGTTTATTTATCCAGCCACAAATCTCTCTGAAAAGCACTGATGCGTTTTTTATTTTCCAATATGTCTAGCTCTAATTAACTTTAGCAATAGTAACTTGTGTATATTGAGGGAATTTTTTGATCTGCCCAACCGCTTTTTAGTTCGGATTCTGTACATAATGTAGATCACATTGAGGTGTGAAAAACTTGAAAAGGATAAATGCCCTTAGGTCTTCTTTCCAGATTTATAGGCGTTTTGTTACAATTTTAGACTATGGTATGGTATACACCAAAAAATCGAATTACGGTATTGCGAGCCTAGATTACGCCTAAAAGTAGATCTATTTGTGAGTACATTCTTCTGAAAATTTCGGCTAAAAAATGTTTCAATTTTGAGATATTAAAGTTTCCAAAACCAGAAAATTCTAGCACCTTTCGTGGGACATAAGTGATTTTTAGGACTTTGATATCTCAGGACAGAAACCACTTTTTAGCCGAAATTTCCAGGACAATTTGCTCACAAATAGATCTGCTTGTAGGTATAATTGTGGCTCGAAATGTCGCAATTCGATTTTTTCATATCTACCATGTTCTAGTGTAAGATTGCAGTAAAATGCCTATAAATCTGGACAGAAGACATAAGAGCATTTATCCTTTTGGGGTTTTTCATATCTTAATGGGATCTACATTATGTACAGAGTCCAACCTCAAAAGCAATCTAGCAGTTGGAAATTTTCGCTCGTGAATATCTTACTAGCCTTTAGTAGAAGTACACTTTACTGCAACAGGAAATTTTGAGGTTCACTGAGACCTAAGAAGTATCTTTAGGTGCTAACGCCATGTGTGGTGATAAAAGTCGTAGAAACGTCTCTTATAAAGTTAAAACAACCAATTTAGACGAATCTAGATCCAATACAAAAGCAGATATCAATCTATGAAAAAATGTGTCACAGCGTTATGTTTTGGTTTTGCTTTTTTTAAACGAGTTACAATAGCTAGAGGAAAAATATTTTTACCGTTGGAAAGCTCGTTTATTGCTCTACAAAATTGGCTCTAGGAGTGCTTCATTTGGAGGTCGTCTTTCACATGAAATTAGAATGTAAGTAGGAGCACTTCAAATTCAGGGTCTTTTTATGTCACAGCGTTACATTACCATAAGTTATTTCTGCCAGCTCGAGACTTCAATCAAAAAATGTCATTTTGTGACATTAATAGAACACAATAAGCTGCATCGAATGACGTTTGAACGAACTTTCTAGCTCTGATATTTTCTGAGATAATTGAATAAAAGTGTATCAAAAATGTCACAGCGTTACGTTTGCACAAAACCGAACACTATTAGACTGTCAGAAATGACCTCTCTCGTCTACTTTACTTACATCGGCCGATGTGCGATTTTTCGACGATGTCCTATGGCTGAATCGAGTTTTAGGATTTTACCATTTAACTCAATCTAAATGATATGATTAAACTATCAGAAATGACTTCCCTCGTCTACTTCGCCTTCATCGGTCGTTCTGCAGCAAAACATGGTATAACTTTTCTCCAATGGTAAAAAAGTCTTAGAAATGATTATTGCACAAGCCCTGAAAGTTTGAAACCATTTGGTGAAGGTCGATGTAAATGTGTCACAAGTACCAGGGAACCACCCTACGCGAACGCTTTGGAAATTTCATTTAGGCAATAAATGAAAACAAAGCATTTATTCAGTTCAATGACACTTCTCATTCAGACACTAAACAGAGTGAACTATCAACTGCATTAACCGATATGAATATTATTGAAGTGAAGCAGTATTAACTGTAAACTAAAATTAACAGTGTAACTAGAAAGAGTAGTCAATCGGACTCTTTCAAATTGATCGGAGGGCATTTTACTTGTGCAAAGTTCTTGCTAATAAATGATAGTATTCCAGAAGTTGAAGTACCAATGAACCAAGGAGGAGAAAGCGCGACTTGCTGTACTTCAGCGTACTCCCTATACTTCTGGGCTGTAAGGAAGATTTGTCTGCAACCTTTTGTGTTATTTCAATACCTTTAGTGCTCAGCGTTCCGGTATAGTAATTGAAGTCCAGTCTGCATATGGCGGTGAGACGTCAGAGTCTAAATACTTCATTGTACTTCACCTTTACTCAAATTTGAGAGTACAATGAAGTATTTGGACTCTGACGTCTGACCGCCCTATGCAGACTGGACTTCAATGACTATACCGGAACGCTGAGTACTAAAGGGATTGAAATAACACAAAAGTTTGCAGACAAACTTTCGCTACAGCCTAGAAGTGCAGGGAGTATGCTGAAGTACAGCAAGTCGCGCTTTTTTCTCCTTGCAATGAACACATCTTATTCTTTCAATTCAATAATTAATTCGACTTATGTTTCAGCTTTTTCTCAAGCTTTAAAATTGTCTAACCTTATTCAGCTCGTGATCACTATGATCGTTAATAAGTTTTTTACAATAATTTGATAAATTATTCCATTGATAGTTGAGTTCCATCATGTGAAAATCTTATTTTTGTAAAAAAATATAATTATAATAGTGCCATTCTGAGTCGGGCCGGGCCGAGCGAGTATGAATGATTCTTGGCCCAGTATGGATCGGACCGAGCGATTAAAAAGTCACGTGATCTCGAGACCTGGCTCGTAGAAGCTACCTTGAAAGCATTTTTATCTTTTATGCGATTTATTATTCTATTCAAGAAA